AACATACCTAAGACGGAAGCAGTGTCCATCTCCGATGCGTCGCAGACTAATTAGCAATTCCGCTGTGCGAAGCTGACATTGAAATTTACAGCATTCCTGACACACCTGGAATGTGACCTGGCTTCAAGGTGGGCCGGTCGCCTTGGAGCTTCGGTCGCGGCCAATCGCCAACCCTCATGTCAATGTACATTTGGTACAGGGAATGTGGTATCCAAAAAGGGTGATATGCATGCGACGCTACCCCCCGCCAACGGACCTCGCAGAAAAGCAACCATGTCGCTTGGACTCGGTGTCTTGGCATTCATGAGCGTGAGAGCGTGAGAGCGTGATTTCCTTGAGGCTCTGCGTGGGGTCGGTTAGCAGAGAGAGGCCTATGGACTTTGGATGATAGCACGGGATGTACATGAGTAATAATGTACTGGCGATGTTGAATTTTGGCGTTGATCGGCGTATAACCAAACTGCGCCGCCCTTTTGCCTCTGCAGTGACTTTGACCCTCCCTGCTCCCTAGACAATGCCCACCCCTATACAAGGAAGAAAGAATCCCCCCTGATGCCCTTCCTCTCTCTGCTGCATCTTCATGGAACACCAGACCTGTATTAGAAGAACACGTACGGACGTAAGAAGGCCAGGCTGTTTCTTCATTGTCCTGACAGTGACCACTACTTAGAAGACATATCTCCTTACCTTCGACTTGGGTCCTGGAAACCTCGATTTCTCTTAGTTCGATTTCCTCGTTGTTTACAATCTGATTGTTTTCCGACATCAACGAGCCAACTTGTCGCCATGGCCAATTCCGAGATGACTTACCTACAGTCACCCTACTTCGACGCTTCGTGTGCTGGCTTATACGCAGACTCAGATTTGCAAATGGATTCCAAACACACGCATTCAGCTTCGCCAACCAGTGCGGTCAACCCCTGGACTGTTGGCCACTACTCAACAGACAGCAAGATGGCGTTTTTCTTATCTCAATCATTAGACTCTGCTACGCCCGGGATTGTGGCCCGGTTTCCTTCTCCTCCCTTTCCACGTGCCGTGTCGCCATCATACACGAACGCCTCGACATGCAGCAGCAGTCTCAGTCCGCCCAGGGAGTCCGATTATTGCCCAATCTACTCACCACCCACACCTTCTGATCCACCTTTATTGCCCCAGTATGAGGGCTTTTCCCAAGTTTGCGAGTACACTGATCTAGCGGATGGGTTCGTCAATCTGGACGATGTGAATCCGGTACAGGATTTGTCTCATCACTATTTCAACAACCTTCAACTATTCAATTCCCATCCAAGGACCTGCAGCGTGTCGAGCATCGAGAGCAACGTCAGCCCCAAGACGTGGAATTATGGGGAGATATTCTCACAACCAAGGCCTTTGACCCCGGACACTCCTGAAATTGAGGAAGAGATCCGTCTTCCGAATAGTTTGGAGAACGGTTACGCCCCTGAGGAGGACGAAGTTGAAGCTGTAATTGAGGCCGGGAGCCCCTATCTGAAGAGCAGCCCAAGCGAAGACGACGAAGATGCAGACGAATACAGCCCATTCGAGGAATCTAGAAACGGCTCGCCTAAACCGACTCGTAATACCAAGAGCCAGAAGCGGCGTAGTACTTCACAGTCGTTTGTAGTCGCCAAGCGCCCAAAGACTACAGTGGTCAAACCACTGATAGGTCCCTCGGACCCCAACCCGTCTTTCGAGGGAGCCAAAGGACAGCATCAGTGTCCCGAATGTTCAAAGTCCTTCCAAGACCAAGTCTGCCTCAACAGCCACGTCAAGAAACAGCACACAAGGCCGTTCACGTGTATATTCGAATTCGCAGGCTGCCCTTCCACCTTCCCGAGCAAAAACGAATGGAAACGCCATTGCACGTCTCAGCACGTCGTGCTTCAATACTGGGTCTGCCAGCAAGATGGATGCGCAGAGGTCTCGAATAAGCCCAGCAGCACATCCAAAAGATCTCCTTCGGGGAGGAGACGCAATAGTTGTCCTAGCCCCCCCGCTGAACATCACAATCATAATCAGCGTCACCCCTCTCTCCCCAACGGCACAATATTCAATCGCAAAGATTTATACACGCAACATCTCCGACGCATGCACGTCCCCGCCCACCTTAAGAATAAAGTCAAGTCGAAAACGCCGGTTGCCGAATGGGAAGAGCAGCAGCGCGTATGTCAGAACAAAGCACTGAAGACGCGATGCCATTTGCCGGAGCACATGGCCTGCCCAGCACCCAACTGCAATGCGAGATTCGACGGCCGAAATGCCTGGGACGACCGCATGGAGCACGTCGCGAAACATCTGGAGAAAGCGGCAGCCGGCACAGAGCCACCGGTGCCGTTCGGCAGCGAGACGGACGAGTCGTTGATAAACTGGGCCACCAGTCCAGAAATCGGGATCCTAAGACGAGGCGACAATGGTAGATGGACATTGCAGAATCCCTTGAAGGTCGATGGGTATCATTCGGCGATGCCTGCGACTGAAGGCAATGAAGATGCCGATGCTGAAGGTGAGGAAATTGATGAGTGAGACTAAGAAACTAGAACACGGATATCTTTTTTTTTTTTGTTTGTATTTCAGATACCCCCTTTTAAATAACTCCGCGTCATGGGATCTTTTCCCTCGTTGATGACGAACGGGCTCAAAAAGTAGTCCTGGGATTTATATATACAGGTCTGATTATTACGCGTCAATTTCCATATCAATAGCTAGAGGAGAATTTAGATCTCTATCTTCCCTGTGATGTTTCTCACCATCGCAGTACATACACATATCCAAGACTGGGAAGCGGGTGAGACATCAAGGCCACCCCAAGGGCTACGACTATGATCATGACGGATGAGGATTATCATACCTACCTAGATAGGTACCCAAACTGCCAGAGATACTACCACAAAAATCAGATAATACATAGAGTTATGTAATCCTGTGCACAATATCAAAAGGCGAAAAGATCCATTCCTCGGTCACGATCCATCACAGTTCCTCACCAAACAAATTGCTGCCTATTCGTGTTATTTGTGGCGTATTATATATTTCTTTTTTTTTTCGCCCGATGACGATCAATGTATTATGACACGACAACCACTTGAAAAGTCGTAAACCCTTTCCTTCTCACCCTCCCCTTCTTCCGCGGCTAACTTGCACCACACTACATACGGGCGGAAGGGCCATGTTCCATGTAAAAGTCACTCAGGTGTATTAGGCGCGTACAATACAGATATAGATATATATATAGATGTAGATGTAGAACACAGTACCTACACTAAGACCAACCCGTTGATCTTGATGCGCCCAACGCTGTGTTTGGACTGGGACGGAGACGGAAACGGAAACGCAAACGGAAACGGAAACGGAGACGGAGACGGAGGAATCGTGTATACCCACACATTCATCCATGTACCTACCTAAATAACGTACCTATCTAGAGAGATAGTAGATGGATGGATAGACCCCCCATGGAGATGGAGTCCTTGCCCGAGCTTCTGCCCGAGGTACAAAGGTAAGCTTTCTTCCTGGTCCCTACCTGCATGCGCGTGACGGGGTGAAAAAAAGAAAGAGAAAGCGGATGTCGATCTTCTCGTTTCTTTTTCTTTGGAAACCCTTTCTTGGCGTCCAAGTATGGTGTACAAAGTAATGTAGCTAAATTTGGCTTGTCTGGATGGCGGACGGACACCCGAGAGAATACACCCTGTGCAGAGAGCATGTAGTGAATGAAGTACAGTAAACAAGGTGCGGACGTCGTGGATAGGAGAGGGAGGTATAATATGTGGTGCAAATAAGCCACAAGTTCCCTTGAATAAGCTGAACTCAGTGGACTGAACTGGACTGAACTGTTTTGGTTCCCTTCTCCGCTGGTCCGATGGAAAAGATTAGATTTCGTCTGTACAGTCCGCATCAAGAATGTGATATGAGGCCGACCGGATTATCTTGGCTGAAAGGAAAGGCATATCCAACTGCTCGTGTGGCTTATATTATGATGTATGTAGATGTAGGTCGATTAGACTTAAGACCTCTGAGAGGGCCGGCCGACTGGACCGAGGTGACGATCGTCTTGTTTATCTTGATTCCCTTCAGCTCTGTCTAGACTACCGTTGCCCTCCGTGTACTAGATACGCTCGAATATAGATATATAGATATATATATGTATATATACTCTTATCTAGGACTCACCAATACCAACAACCTGTTTTCATGGAATGGGACTGGCCGTGTGTTTGTTATCTGTGACTCACTGTTGGAGAGAACCCGGAACTGACTGACTACCGGCACTCGGTTCACCGAAAGATGGCAATTTGTGCGAGACGATGAATGCCATTCATGGCTATTTATTCGGACTGAAGAAGACGAGGTTCAATCGGGTTTCTCTCTCTCTCTCCATGTCGATCGATCCTGCTACGTATTAAGTATGCACAAAGTCCTGTGCTTATTCAGTGTGTTCGTGAAGCTTCCCTTGAAAGCGCTCCATATATGCCCTCTCTCGTCTCCTTCGCCCAATCGTTAGAGCAGATTATGACAAGCAACTCCTCCGGTGCATGACTCAATTGACTCTGCTTTTGAACTTTCAACTCTAAAGTCTACCTAGGAGGCTACTTAGGACCCAGGTATTATCTAGTTAATAACTTAATACGAACCGAGATCGTAAGTTCATAACTAGGTAGGCAAGGATAAGTAAGAACTTTACAAGGACTCATTCTCACCATTCTACTTTTTCTCACGTCACATACCGTTCAGACTCCAATATCCTCATTCGCGCTCAAAATCGTATCCTTCCTTCAAAGTTCACAGACATGGCATACACGCTGCGGAAACATACCAACATGTTTGTTACCTGTAACGTCTGTTTCCGCCAGTAGCTTCATATGCTCACAAAAAGAGGCGCCAACCACTCAAAGAAACCTGCCCGCTTGGCTAAGTGGTATAGCGTGTCACTAGTATAACTAGATGTCATGACAAGATCAGCGGTTCGATTCCGCTAGTGGGCAATGAATATTTCATCACAATCCGAATTGGTGTAGTGGCTAACATTTGACGCTCTCATTCGTTTCGTTTACTTTAAAAAGCGTTATGGAAGTGTGCCGTCAAGCCCGGGGTTCGATTCCCCGATTCGGAGTTAGAAGTTTGATATCAATCAACCTACGAGTTTCTTCTTTTTTTTTTTCCTCCCTCCCCTTTGGCCTAGCTGGGTTTTTTTTTGTTTGGTTGGGTTCGGTTGGGTTTGGTTGGGGTTTATTGGAAGAAGGGTGGGGGGTGGATGTCCCAACCCAACTCTGTTCATGCCTCACTTGCTTTGCCCCTCTCAAGGTAGAGATATCTGCCTAGAGACCTGTACGATTGACTCCCAAAAGAAATGTGTGTAGAATCGTTTCGAAGCGTTGGGAAACAAAGTTACTCAAAGTCACTTTGCGAGTTAGCCGCAACAGGCGGGGATGAAATGAGGAATGACGTTTTTCCTCCATAACATCGACGGGAGAAAAGAATCCGCATACGTGAATGACTCCTTACAAGTTACTGGAACCCAAGTAATCAACGGGATGAAGTAGGCAGGCATGTATGCCCAACCCAAATTACATTTACATACTTCTCAGCATATTCAGTCGCACATGTGACATCGTCTCTTTGCGGCGTCGATCTTCACGGTACGTGTGAGCTGTCTATCAGTGCATAACACTGCGACGGTTAGCATGTGAGAGAGACACCTGCCAGCTAGGTAGTCAATCGTCTTACGCTCAAATTAGTTAAACTGCTCCTCGATGAATGACATATGGGTGTAATGAGTATATTCTGACCCTGCCTTCTCCAACTTATGCCCACCAGATATGAGCAATTACCTGGTGTGGTATGCGATTCATAATAGTAACTTATCACAATCGTGATTGACAGCGGTTTCAACTGTAAGCCCATAGCCGCAGACAAAGAGAAGATGAAACCTCAACCCCTCCCCTCCTGGGGCAGATATCCTGCCTGGATGCCAGATAACTAATAAAAATGATCCGAAATGAATTGTATTTCATGAGTAGGTAGATAGGGATGTGCCAATCCACGTGTTCATTTTCACCCCGTCACGTCACTATAATCATGGCGCCGGCCATAGCGGAGATCGAACAGACTCACTCGGCACAAGCGTCTACTCAGAATATCAATAGTGAGTATCTAGCATTGAGAAGATCGGGCTTCTGAGTGTTGTGACCCGATAGAACCAAGCTCACCAGTAGTGTACCACATCAGATCTTATGTCCAAATACACATTCGATGACGTCGAACCGGCCCAAATGCAGATCCGAGACGAGCCGGACTATACAACAACTTGGAGCGCCTCATCATCCACCCAATGGACTGCTTGGGCCAGTCGGACGACTGAACATACCGTGATAGGCCTCACAACTATTGCGGCTGTCACGAGCGAGACGACAGTCACAGCGTTACCACCAACAGAGGCACCCCTCCTCTCATCGTCACAGTCATCGACGACCGCTCTTTCACCCGGGAAAATCGCCGGCATCGTTCTGGGCTCGATCACGGGCTTGCTACTTCTTCTGCTGCTTGTCTACCTGCTCCTGACGCGGGCCAGATGGGTAGCGAGAATGGCGGCCTTACGCCTTGAAGAGCATGAGGAGAAGCATCGCAAGAGAGCGAGACGCGGATCGAGGAGAGCCAGAAGTATCGCCAGAGAGGAGGGCCCTGTGCGGGGGGAAACCGTATATAATAATAGTCTTGTTGCCCGGGAAAGACCAACTAGACCGCCACGGCCGCTGTGGTTCACGCCTGAAGTGAGACAGCTATTGGCAGAAGGTAGAGCCAAAGCCAGAGTCCAGAAGGATGAGAGGGATACGATGGCTGATGAAGAGCTCGAGTATGGAGCCATATAGGTACCTAGTTAGGGACCTAGTTAGGTAGGTAGGTAGGTAGAAATGTTGAGTTAATGCTCGGAATGGTGGAAATTTCTGGCATTGAAGTGTATCTACTTAATACTTACATAGTACACTACTAATACATGCCTACCCGCCCGGTCTACCTTTTATAGGCAGGTAATGAACAAGACTAGGACGAGACGGGAAATAGTCTGGCACCATCTTGCGGGTCAAGAGAGGCTTTTAACGTTAAAGTACTTTGCCCACGGCGGTTAGATAGGGCTTAATGAAAATGAATAAAAGGGAAAGAGAAAGGGATTTGCTACCTAGGTAAATGCCGATAACCGTTCGGACACCCCTTTGGATCATGTGCCAACCGCGGTTTGAGCCCAACCAGAAGCCAGTTCCTCTTTCTGTATTTACATAATTCTTCTGTGGAACTGTAACCCAGCAAGGCGCGTACACGTAATCAATCTAGGTAGATAGGTAGGTAGTTAGCAGGAACCGTACTACGTGCCTAGCAAGTAACTTACTTAGTGACACGAAGAATGGAGCCTGGAACAGAGCGGCCCGCCACCACCTCAGTTGCCACGTGATGCATTCTCAAGGGTGAGCGTTCGCTTAGGTAACTACCTTAAGTGGGCACCTATGTAATTACCTACACTACCTACCAGGTACCTACCTACCTAATGTAGGTTTCACAGATGGGCGCCAAAATCTCGATATAGAAAATACAGTGCGTATAATAAGCTTGGCACTGTGTTTTCCTGGCGCTAGCTAAAAGATTCAGCCGCTATGTGAGCTAATACCTAACCTGCTAGCCATGGCCCATGGGCCCGGTACGGTGGAAACAGTGAGTGGATACTATCGTACTACTTAAGTAAGTACACTCGAGGTGATTAAATTCACTGTGTAGTCTAATAGTTTCACCGTGTGGGTCGCGACTTGGCGGCTGTCTACCGGCGGGCTGCCACTGAGGAAAGGCACACGTGACATCATGTTTCTCTATCATCGATAACTACTTTACGGATTATGTGACGTGAAGTTCAATATTCGCAAACATCCCACGATGGCGACCGCTTCAGGTAAACTGAGCTTGCCCATCTTAATAAACGCATTGCCAACACCGTCTCCGTCATTTCTGACATCCCCATCATCAATGTTGCCGCCGCCGCCGCCATCATTGTTACCCGCCACTCCTATCAGCGCAGTATAATGGGCGAGGCACGGGTACTATGTAGTCCGTATGCAGGCCGAGTGGCGGGCAGAGTGGTGCACACATTGATTGGTTTTAGAGTCTTTGAACTGTCAATTGAATTCCCGTGCCCGTGCCTGTGCCTCCCCCCAGCCTTCAGTTTAGATTTCGTCAGGGCTCGCCAACTAACAACTACGGGTAATCGGGTAGGTACAGTGGGTCACAGAAAGTGACGCTCGCTCGGACTTGTTGCAAAAAAGACTACCTTTCAGAATCAACACCGCGCGTGCAAATGACAATATAATACCCTCGAAAACTGGGCGTGCATTAAACAATGACCGGCAATTGCATAGATTCTTTTCTCTAACTCATATCTACATTTTACGTGCCTCCATCGTGGCTTTAATTCGAGCCTAAGATTCGGCTTGAAAAAATCGAGCGTCACTTTCTGTGACCCACTGTAGTTAGATAGGTATTCCCTTAGTTGGCGTAAAGATTTGCCTTTTTTCGGTGGCGGCCAGCCGGTAGACAGCCGCCAAGTCGCGACCCACACGGTGAAACTACTAGACTACACAGTGAATTTAATCACCTCGCTTACACTGAGCGGACAGCATACCGAAGTAAGTAAGCAGCGGATTTTGGCGCTGCTCGCGTCCCGAAGCTTAACATCAACCATGGAATCTGATTGGCGGTCCTTGCAGTTAGACTCTAGCCGTTTCCAGAATCGACCCACAGTTTCTCTGACCCGCTCCCTCTCGGCTTGACCGCCACCGTCCAATGTACTGTACTTAGGTACCTACCTAACTTAACCTACCTACCTAAGTAGGTATCTTCTTTGAGCCCCATCTCACCTTACCCTTCTTTTTTCCCGTCCATCTCGCTCGACTCATTATCTCCAGTTTTCGATCAACCGTCCCAACTGAACTTCATCATAAGTTAGTTACTGCACCAACGTCTCGTATTTGTCTGCTTCATTCAGCCTGCGAGCCTGTCCACCTACAACAACCCCAGTTTTCTCCCCCTCTGATCACCCTGGATTCCATCAACGATGGCGCCAATGCAAGACACCAATTTAAATACTAGTAGTAATCGTTACGGCGAGGACGTCGCCCGTCAGGTCAATGTCCTCGCCAGTTGCTACCTGGTTGACTCTGCCGCGACACTCAAGGGCCTTCATTACTGCACTACCGGGGCTGCAGGTAAGCATCTGATTTCTTTTCCGTCTCTCCCGTGTCGTCCAAGACATGTTGTGCAGATGTTCCGCGACGGGATGGCTGATTACTAACATCGATAACCAGGGGCCGAGTGGTATTCCTGAGGTTCCTATCTCAGGTTTACCATCCCCTCCGTCAAGTCCCCCCCTCGCGGCCATCACGTCGTCCAACGAGCTCGCTCTGCAGCCCAAGCCCAAGAAGCGCAGCTCTGACAGTCCTATCACGACGAGTTTGAACCGCATCACCACTAGCCGCCGAGGGGGGGCGACATTTCAGATTAGGGAAGAATGTGAGAGATTCTTTTGTGAGACCATGAGGGCCGTATTCCAAGGTGAGCGGAATGCGGTCGGTAATGGCTCCTGCCTGACTGGTGTCTATGGTGTGCTTACGCCGCCCGACCACTATTCTCCCATCCCGCCCAATAGCGGACTAAACGCCGCCGCGAAGATCACGGGATGGGTCGAGTTTTGGGATTACGCGGGAGGCGCAAGTTTCCGGGCTTTCGTGGCCGAGAAGGACGGCGAAAAGGCACTGTTCGCTTTCTTCGATAGTGGACTGGTTGGCCGAGACCTCAAGCAAGCGTACGTGTTTCCGTCATATCTGATTTATTCTCTTTCATCACACTAATCATTCGATAGACTCATCGCGCTGATCGAACTGGCCGATGTTCCCTTGGGATGCTCCAACGTCGTTATCTGCATGGACCGCCACATGCCCGAAGACCACGCAAAGTCCCTAATGCGAAGTCTGCAGTGGGTTGGCTTCGACTTGACAACGCTCGACTCCTGGGCCGACGGTGTCGATGTCCTTAGCCCCACATGGCTCTTCTTGGGCATGGAGGTTTAACTGCCTC